ACTCTTACTACTGTCAGTATTGATTTTGTAGCAGATTTTAAATTATTTAGATTTCACAATAGCAAGACCCTCCTTTAGCTCCAGACCGTTCTCCCCTGGCAAATACAACACTGATGCAGATCATACGTGAAATATATTGTCTCTACTTCTAATAAAATGCAAAAGTTAACATTAAGAAATGAAAGATAAGTCACTGTTAGCAACAGTTAGAGAAACAGCAGTGGAACAGACAGAACAGTAAATACAACCACTGTGCTTCCAACAAGTCCCTTTTCATCATTTTTCAAAAGAATTTGTGAACAATCAAAATTTCAGAGCACGGAATTAGAAACAAAACATCGAGGAAGGCTTCACGGACAACTGACTTTTTTATTTCTACAGTTGCTCTCTTACGAAAAAGAAATCCACGTTAGGGATGAGAGAGACAGCACAGAACTGCAACGTGTGATACACGCCTTCTTCCCCAGAAGAGCTCCGTTCAGCAAGTGAAAACAGTTCAGCTCGCATTGCTCATACAGCTCTCCAGGCTGTGCCGCATCTGTCAATACCGAGATACAATTTGGGGTGCTCTTGCATCCCAAGCCCTGAAAATCCGACCTAAGCAGGGTGTTGCATATTAAACCAGCCCAGTTAAAAAGGGTAAATAAAATTTTTAGAAGCTTTGTGTTTGTAGAAGCCTCAGCGAAAGCAAGAGCAGTCTCTTTAGCTGTGTGTTTCAAAATTTTAAAACCATCTGCTTTCCTCATGACCAGTCAGATTTTTTTTCCAACAGAACCGACCTCTGATGACAGCATGCCGCGCGCTGACTGTCCTTTCCTCGAGATCTGTACAGCTGACTATCAACTTTCGGGGGAACGGGTGTGCTGCAAAGCCCAGCTTGAATAAAGGCTCAGTAACACCCCAAAACCTCTGCATTAGAACTATCAGCAACACATAGCTCCCTACCCAAGTCCTTAGCTGGCCATTCCACTGAAATTCCAAGCATGCAGTTATAAAGGCACGGGCAGGAAGCATTCCTGAGCCTGATGTTAGGGATGTGTGATTGGAGCGGTCATCTGGAGGCAAGAAAACAAACATCTATTGCTATCACCTCAGCCAGAACAGGACACACTAACCTCACCTGCGTTTTTTGCCTCAGAAACAAAACCCCAGAGAGATTTCATATGATTTTCAAGCTTTGAAGATGGACAGATTTATTTCTTCTTATCTCCATATAAAAGGAAGAGTATGAGTCAGGGTTCCTAATAAAAACTATTGCAGGTATAAACACCTTTAATATAAGTTATTATTGCACAGGCCAGTTTTAATCTACCAGTAGTCCCTGAGATTGCGGGTATAATAGCTGTCATTGAAACATTTAATTGCATGTTTGTGGTTATATTATTATTACCCGGGCTGGAAACGCGCTTTAGAACAGCCCATACACCACAGTATACCATCTACATCGCCCGTACAAACAAAACTTGAATAGTTCCAATGGCTATCACCATGCTTGTTATTACTGGTAGATTTTCATCAACCACTTGTTAAGAGAACTGGAAGTTTTTCTTCCCCAAAGATCTCAAAGCACATTTAACTTCACTTTAAAAAACACTGAGGCAACTCCTGAGGCCACTGACTAAGCGGATAAAACTATACACAGCATTTTAACAGGTGGAGAAAAAAAAAATGGAAAATTATAACCTTGGAGTTCAGTTATTCTGGCAGTCCATCTCTCCGAGGTGTGCCAAAGAGCACAGCACTTCTGCTGCCAATCCCATACAGACCTTTCCTGTTCTGCCTTTATCACCCGCTGCAGAAAATGGTATAAATACAAACTCCCTACGGATGAGATCTCTGCATGTCTAACCCACTACCTGGGAATGGCTTTCGCTTTCCCACCAGCCCAGAAAGTCAGGAGAGGATCCAGGGCAACAGGGCAGTTCCACAAGCACCGCACACAGGCAGGGGCAGCACATCAGCCCTTCCTCTGCCACCAGCAACAAACTGCTGTCCCCTCACAGTGCAAACACGGACAGGGCAAAGGCAGTTCAAGGGGGTTATTTTTTCCTCCTCCTCTTTTTCTGTCTTCTTTTTTTTTTCCTTTTTTTTTTCTGACAGCGATGCCCACCAAAAGCGTTCCTGGAACTGCAGAGTAAGTTCCTGCTGCACACAGAAGATACAGTGGTTCTGTGGCTCTGAAGCTACCGACATGCTGGATCTGAGCAGGCAGGACGCGTGCGTGGTCAAGAAATGACTCTTGGGAAGGCAGGCTCAGCTTAACAGTCAGATCACTCTCAAAAAACATCAACCCCAAAATTTGGGGGTTTTAGCCTCAAAACTACATGAAAGGTATGGCTCCTTTTTAACCATCCACATGGTTCTGTTACACAAACTGGGAGGCGTAAGAGTCAGGGTGCAGAAGATCCTTTGGATGTTGCCATTTTAGTTATCTTATTCTCACTCTGGTGTTAAAAATCTGCAGTCCTAAAAATCTAGAGTCCTACCCAGCAATCTTATCCTGCTATGTAAATCTTTTTAAACAAAATGCCTTATTCAAAGCTTACTATTGTTAGCCGATATCAAATCAGTGTAGCAATTCGCCATCGGCGTATCTTGATCTAATTACGTTCTGGAAAGAATCGAAATAGATCTAAAGAAAATTCAGATAATGGAACAGGCAAAACAAGAAAGGGAAAGGAGGAGCATAAACAAAAGATAAAAGAAGAACAGAGAATAAAGGATAAAACTCTGAGATACAAAAAATAGGATTAGGTGATACTGGAATTGGCGGGGAGGGGGGGCATATGCTCAGAGGCATCTCATAAGGAAAGAGGAAGACCAGGGATTAAAAATGTTACCATCATCTAATGCATTCTGTGAAATTAAATGTCATTCCCTGAGATGTGAAAATGGTGTGCTTAGGAGTCAAACAACGCGTCTGATCTGAAATCTATGAGCAACCGACGCTCATTCGTACTATGTCAACGGATTTCAGATACAGGCAATGGAGACAAAACTTCACCCTCCTATGGATCCGTCCCTGAGTGACAGCTCTGCACGGCATCTAGCAATACAGCCAAATTTAACTGCTGGCAGAACGCTCACAAATAGGCCAAAGATGCCAAGAACACTTCCAGTGTAGGAAACATATTTTGTTTAATTTGGATGATGCTCAGTGGAGTTCTTTGCTCTTTTCAGCACACATCAGTACTACAAAGTCTGTGTGCTCTGAAATACTGTTAGAATTTCTTTTCTTTCAGGATGAAGGGAATGAGAGTCTCTTCTGATTTTTTTTAATGTCTATTTTTATAGGGGTACACCGATTACAGAAGGCCTTACTTTTTCCACGTCCTATCCCATGATGCAACTTGCCTCAACATTCTCAGGGTCCCAAAGATTAATAAAGAAACCTGTAAATATAGCAAACTGAATTATACACATTTTGCTACACTTCTCAGCAAAAATTCTCTCCTCAAAAAAAAAAAAAAATCAGAAGAGGAATATCTTTCCTGTCTTTAAGTACACACTTAGAATCCTTTAGTGCTGGAATTAGAAGGGATGTGTGAATACAAGTAGTGTCAAAATACAAAGGTTACTGAATGAAAAACCACACCTTTGTAAAAGGAAACAACTCATTGTAATTTGCACCTCTTTTGCAAGCATAGCCCTTGACAAATAGCTCATTGCAAAGAAATCCATCCAAGACAAAAATATATCAAATTCACTCTACAAATTGTAGCTAGACAACCATACAGAGGCAATTCTCAAGTCATAAGGTGTGGTTTAGGCCTCCCGTGTGAATAACAAGCTCTTAACAACGACATATAAAGCTGCCTTCAGAGTAATTTTTCTCAGTGGGAACACTTGCACTGACCTATAGAGCACCCCAGGGTCAGGCACTTTACAGAAAAGCATCAAGGCAGTTCGGATCCACTGACTTGCTATCCCAGATGCTTCTCCCTGCTGATTTCACTCACCTAAGCTGCCACCACTGCAACCAGAGCACCACAGAGCAGTTTCAGAGGCAGGAATCCAGCCTTTCAGGCAGATAAAGACTCTCCTCTGTCTGAAACAGAAACCGACAATATTACTGGGCCTAATCAAAGACTGTTTTTGTTACTTTTTAGTCATTTTCTTTGTAGTTCTGGCACCATCTTTGTTAGGAAGATTTATTGTCTGCTTTTAAAAATTTATCTGTTTGCAATGGCCAGTAGATGAAGGGATCTCTTTAAATCACTCTGTATGGGGAGAGTGTGAACATGTTAGAGTCTTCATTTCTCCCATGCTGGAAAAGCACTTAGAAAACATCAATACAGAGGGCAAAATTTTTCAGACAGTTATATTCAAGACATGCTGTTTACAAGGTGGTCTGTAATCTGAAGTTACTGACTTATAATTATTCAAATTGACTGTGTTCCTTAATTTAAGAAGTAAAAATGAGAATTTTTTTTTTTTTGGCTATCTGAGAAATTGAGTAAGAGATTTACTGATTGATTGATTACACATCGCAAAATAAAGGTTTCAGACAAGAATAATTTGAACACCAAACATTGCTATTACAGTTACTGTCTTTTCTCAAAAAAAAAAAAAAGATCTATTTACTAAGTTACAAATACAAGCAACTGTTGCATCACCTTACAGTACTGGAATTGCTGTTGAATATCAGGGAAGGGTAATAGGAGAGATAAAAGTTCTCTAAAAGAGAAAGCACCAGAACTAGCAGAAAGGTGGGGTTGGTCAGCCCTTCATTTGAATGTAAATGTAATTATGAGGCAGGCAGTTAGGCTGACGTCAGCCAAGATCTTGGTAAACCATTACCACCAGCACCTGGTAACACAGTTGACAATAAAGGAGGATGAAGTAGAAGACTCCAAGCAGAGGGGCATTACCAGAGAAAACCCAACACCCTTATTTTTAAGCAGCAAAAGAAAATCGGGAAGGCACAAGATGTTGTGACAACGTGTTTACGATCTGTGACAGCCATCGATGTGAGCGCTCTCTCGGATAAAGAGGCCAGCATGTACCCAGGAGCAGCGAGGGGTAACAACCACCTGCCAGCGCAAAACTTTGTGTCTGCTCCACCCTATTCAGATTACATGGGATACCATCATGTGCCAACTCTGGACACCCACGGACAGCCTGCGGCAGCCTGGGGAGCTCCCTACGGCCCACAGAGGGAGGACTGGAACGCTTACGGCCCAGGACCTTCCAGCACCGTGGCTGCTGCCCAGATCAATGGCTCGTCTCCTGGACAGGTCTCCTACAGCTCTGCGGATTACAGCTCCCTCCATCCTGCTGGAGCTGGGGGGTTACCTCCTGTAGATACAATTAATACACAGCAAATCTCTCCCAACAGCCAAAGGCACAGCTCTTACGAATGGATGAGGAAAACGGTCCAAGCTAACACTACAGGTAAGCGTCCACTCAACTTTCCACTGGAGAAAGCATCTTCTGCTATCACCGATCTTATAAATAATTAACTTTACTTGAAGCACACAGGTTGGTGGGTCGTTTATGACATTTATTTAACCTACTGCTGTTTAATGCAGTTTTAACTAAATTTGCACTAGTTTCACTTTCGTCCCATAAAGGATTTATAGGGTTACTACAGTGGGATGGCTGTTGTGTTTCGATATGGCTGTATCTCATTCCAGTCCAGGAATCCTTGTTCTAACACTCTGTTCTAACATTTTTCATCACCTTTTGGATGAAAAACACGATACTCTTGAGAATGTTATACAACAATGAATACAGCCACATAGGCAAAAATACTACGTAATTATTTTGTGCCACAAGGTAAATATCAATATAAAACCAAGTTGATATTTTTAAATCTTTACAGACTTTTCAATACTTTTAAAGAAAATTATGTGCTCTAATCCAGCTGTAGTGATTATGCAATTTTCTGCTGTTGTTCCCTTGTCTTATTTTTCTACCTAGACTTATTAGGCGAGAAGAAATATCCCTACAGAAGTGATCTGACCCAAATGATCAACATAGACTATTTTGTTTGCAGATCACATATCTCATCAGTTAAGCTTCCTTTTCACTTGGTTTCAAATTGGTTTTACACATTTTTCTCACGTATCAGAATTTTGCAGCTTGCCACAATTACACAATTAAAAATCACTTTCTTGCAAGTGTCACCCGTTGATGTGCCTGTTTTTGTCACAAGCTCCACGCCAGATGAACCTCTCGGTGTATATTCCCAAGGTGTAAATTGGGTATAGCAAGGTTTGCTAAATCTATTGTTAAGGTTAAAAGTAGTAAGTGTGTGTTAGACAGGATCAAAGACAATGCTCTAACGAAAGCGGAGCAATTACAACAGGAGCAATCTTAGAAGACACAGAAAATCAGCACTGCTGCTTGAGACACAATCCTCCTTCCAATGGTTATTACTCAAGAACAAAATTAGTCTGGTAATTCTCTCTTCGGCACAAAGCAGATACACGCTGGTTTCCCACTGTTACTAAGTATAAAACGCCCAGTGAACATTAAGATATCACAATGCCATCCTTCCACTTGGAGCCTCTACAAAAGCCTTCAAAGCCAGGCAGATTTATAGTCTGCTTTTCCCCTTACGTATACTCATGTAAATCAGCAGTAACTTCATTAACATCGTTGGAGATTTCCAGGTGTAGAAGTGATGCAAGACTTGAGCATAGAGCAAATTCAACTGAGATTTACTGAACGTCAGCGAGGCAACCCTGTCTGTCGTGTTGTCATTGCATTTTAAATGGGTTTGCATTCTTAAAGAATAAGACAGACTGAAAAATCTAAATCCTAGTTTTACACTTATTGCACAGACGTGGAAGACCCTGAAAGGTTTCTCACACACTTGCTCAACGTCAGAAAACACGTATGCAATTCAGAAAAGCAGTTATGTGCTTAAATTAATCTCTAGTCTGAAAAGCTCTCACGCAGAATTTACACACATGCCGAAATACTTTATGAACACCGCACAGGTGAAACGGGGCCTGACAATAGATACATGTCCCGAGGCAGAACATTCCTAGAGCCCAGTGCTTTGAAGTGTTAAAAACAGCTCAGGACTTCACAGTATCAGGCTCAAGACATCAACCCAGCTTAAAAAAAGGGGCTGGGAGAGTAAAGCATGAATGTATTTTGCAAAACAAGAAAAGTACCAAATAGATTTGGTTTTTCATTTGTGTTTTTAAAATGATGGTAACTGTAAAACCTGGAAAATTCTAATACTGACATATAAAAAGTTGCGAAAAAATAAAGGAAATACAAACAAATAACAAGAAGGCTAAAATTATGCCTGTAACGGCTACACATTAACTTATCAACACTTTCTCTAGAGGATAATGTAAGAAAACTTACTTGATGCCATTACAACCACTCTTTGAAACAGACCTGCTCTCTGTTTTTCCTTATTGCCATAATATTATTCATGCTATCAAAGTAGCTACTGGCTCCTCCCCTTCAATATTATCGCTGCTCAATACAGTTCATTGCTCTAAAACGTCAGAATTACAGCCCTAAACTTTACAAATATATTTATTTACACAACTATGTATATGTCCTTAACTTCACTAGCGGTGCTTACTCACATTGATGTCCACGAGCAGCACGGAATAACAGAAATCAAAACACATTAATTAAATGACGAGCCTACTGAAACACTGTCCTAAAGACAATGGGAATTATTTTGGGCGAGGGGATGTTAATGGGAATTTCTTCCCCTCTGTTTAGACTCTATTAAATACACTATATTCTGATTCAATATTCCTATTTAGCATTTTATACCAAAAAAATTAAATTGCAGGAAAAGTGAAATGAAAATTTACCTGACAAAGTCAATTCTCAGGAGGAAACAACATCACAGACTACTACGTCCTTTCAGCAGATAAAAATTTGATTTGAAATTATCCTGTTACTCAAAGACCATAACTGTACAGGCAGAACCAAACCTTTTTTCACTTCAAATACATGGACGTCGCCAACATACGTGGCAATGAGAAATTTCAAAACACCAAACGTGGAAAGTGCGTTTGATGAAGGTATCTTCCCAGGCAGGCTATCAAAATGGGAAAAAGAACACCTAGAGAATTCCTTACAGTTTGATCTTGTTTTTCCTAAAAATCAATGACAAAATGCCCTTCTCGACTTCAGCTATGTAAGAGCAGAACTTCAGAGCAATTCATTTCTAAAACCTGTGTAATCAACAGTAAAATGTGTATTTTAGGAGAGTGAGCGAGCCTTCAAAGCATGAACCTTACTGAAAAGAAGGCACCTAAACAAGGGCCTTGAAAACAGATCTGGGAGTCACCCTTCTCAGAAAGGGACCGGACTTTCAGGGGACTAAACAAGAGGACAACATTATTTTTATGTTTCTGCAAGATCAGCCTCAGCTCTTTTTAACTACAGTCAACACATTTTATGTCTTTGTTTAAACAAGCAGCGATGTACAAGTAATTCAGATTACATCACAGCAGAAACACAGCCAGAAAGCAAAATAGAAAAGCAGGGAAAAAGGCCAGGCCCCTGCTTTAATGCTAATTTATTTTGCTTTGTAAACTAGTTGTGACATCTATTTTCCACTGGCCTACATTGTCTGAGGTTTTGAGGCCTATCTGTCATATTGAGGCAACAGACCCTTTTAACACTTCACTTTGCTTTGATATGCAGTCTTGTCTCTTCCTTCTCCCTCTTTTCTTCAGGAGTTATATTGCCGGAAAGGGTGATGATTTTCACAGCAAATAAAGAGGCCTTCTCCTACCTTTATTGTCTTCAGAAGAAATGCTCTGTGAATTTTATGACCAAGGGGAATGGGGAAAACTACTCCTTTTCTCCACCCCCTCAAATCATGGTTATATTTGCTGATTATAGTGAAGCCGGAATAACCCTGTTGAATTTTAACTTGTTTTCAAAGATTACCTTCTGAGCCTTCAGTTTACAAGGAACCTGAATATCTACACTATTGTTAACATTATAACTATCACTTAGAGCAAATATTTCAAAGCCAACAATTTGCTCCTCAGTTTGATGATTGTTTTAGTCCCGAAAATTTAGGCAGGAAAACCTGGTAGACCAGAAGTCAAAGTGGCATAGGATTTGGGAAAACATCCTTAATTATGTGTATTTCAAAACGTCTTCAGCTATGTCTGCCTCCAGCCTTGGGATAAAAATACCGCCGTCTATCCTCAGTGTCGGTCCAAAATTAAAGAGAACTGAGGAAAAAAATATTCCTTCATCTATTTCTGTCCTTTTTTCCTCTGCTAAGATGAAAGAGTCTGACATTTGTTTAGGGCTTGTAAATTCCAAACCAATTGGCTTGTGTTGCTGAATGTGAAAGGGGTTCTTGATAAGATCTCCTTGTCGCTCCTTTGTGTGGCGTGTGCTTCATCTTAACACCTCAATGGATTTTAGGGAACCACTTTAAAGGAGTCTTTGTCCTACAGTTTGTCCCAGAAAACTCACATCAAAAAAAACCTGGGAAGATCAGAAGAAAAAGGAAAACTATCTAGTTGGCTGCTGAAAGTGCAAAGGAGAACAAATAAGTGGAAAAGTGATCTCTCTGTATTATTATTGCATGAAGAATTGTTTAAAAAAAGTCTATGAAATGAAAGATATCTTCTAAACATCAAGTAATGCGTCTCTTGACAGTGTTTATCCAATACATCTAAGAATATTTCTTTTATCCATTCGAGAGGATGATACCGAAATCCTTTTACAAGTACTTTATTGCCTCGTCTTACAAATTGCCAAGTGCCTTCAACTCGAAAGGGAGGCTCAGCGCACAGAGCACCCCCAGTAACACCTCCAGAGGCACTCAGCACCTTGCAAGACTGGACCCTTTTGAAAAAATAAATTCAAATTATTATTGAACTTGTAAGTATGTCCTACAGCCACATGGGAAAGCGAAAGCATTTCTAGTAGGACACTTCTTTGTGAGAGAAAGCTGATCTTTAAAAACTCAAACAAAGAATTAGGACACAGTACAACTAAACAAACTGTGGCTGAACTTCAGTCTTGAAATCCTGAGTATTTATGCCCGCATATACACAGAAGTCACTTTGGTGAGCACTGAAACCAAACCCTTTTGAGATCAAATACAGCCAGCACCAATTATGTACTCCTATGAATTATTTAAGATGCTTCAGGGTGTTTTTCACTTAAAAGCTTTACATTTAAATGTATGTTTACAAAGAGAGGGAGATAAAGAGGGAAAGACAGTTATGATAACCAATAGTCACTTACTCATCCTGCACCTCATGTTCCTTCTCTGCAATACCGAAAACAATCCCACGCAAGTACTCTGTAGTTTAATTAATGTCTGTAAAATGTTTGAGATGTTTGAAAGAAAGATGCTATAGAAAATCAAATTCAACATATTAATAATGTTTCTTTCTTAAACAGGTAAAACAAGAACAAAAGAAAAATACCGAGTTGTTTACACAGATCATCAGAGACTAGAATTAGAGAAAGAATTTCACTGCAACAGATATATTACAATCAGGAGAAAGTCAGAACTTGCAGCAAACCTGGGACTATCTGAAAGACAGGTACACAAAGACTATCCCTGATTCGTCCGCACCCAGCCACCAGACCCCGTTACTGCCAGGGGACGTGAGCAGCGTTCAGGTTCTGTGTGCCAAAGTAGGGTGAAGGCAACCGTGACACAGTTTCTGAGTATACTTGACACACAGAGAATACACTGCGCAAATACAAATTAATAAATAGGCTAATTTGCCAGAAACCTCCAATCATGGGTAACTAAACATTAGGAATTAATTTACACTAGAAGTACTTATTATGTGCGTAACAGCTTGCTAGACAGCTAGAATTTCAGCCGTTCAGCTTTCCGTCATCTCAGCTGTGTTCTCAATATTCTCAAAAAAGTTGTGGCATTCACCATTTTATTTCTTCTTGCAGTCACACAAAATGGTGACCAGAAAAAATCCAATGCATTGGACATATTTCAGCTGTAAGCCAGGAAAATGACAACTCAGCATTCAATGAGCAATCAAACGAGATATCTATGTACTTTTTGTTACAAATTTAATGCCACTGTTTCCATAGGCCACATTCTTCCTCAGTCAGTCAGACTGCAGCACATTTTAAGGAGTTTTTACAGCCAGGATTTCTTTCTGCTATTATGTCCACAGGTACTTCTCCTGTAGTAGCAGCTCACACCCACTATATGCTATTTGGTGCCAAACTTTTATGTCTATTATACACAAATATGGAGCCAAGACTATCCATTCAGGAAATTTTCAAGTGTGTACTTAGATCCCTTGCTCCTTTGGAAAGCAGCTCTGCATTCGCTCCTACCAGGTACATCTTCAAGCTCTGTCCTGAATAGAGGTAGTCTCCTGAGCAGGGCCCAGGTATCTTAGCTGCGTTCACACAAAGACTAGAAGAATTCAGGATAAAGAATTCCCTAAAACCACTGTGTTGGACAGCACACTTGCGAAGCACAGCTCTGCAGTCTGCAAATACAGTAGTACCTGTTCCATCCAGCCCTCCTTATACAAAAGAACTGCAGTGGTTCTGCTACAGTTGGAGGATAAGGGAAGATTTGGCAATATTGAATAAGGTATTATCTTATACCTTAGCAATCAGATTTATTGCCCCCAGGTAAATTTAAAGAAGATCTCTTTCTTTTTAGGATTTTACAAGCTTTTGCTCTTTATGAATATACACATTCAGTTCTCTCAAATATTCTCCTCTTTCAGTGGCCTCCTCTCCTTCTGCATTCAGTCTGCGCAAGACCGCAGAACAGAGAGGGACCAGTTGAGGCTGGAAGTGTAGGGATGCACAGATAAGCAAAGGGATAAACAAAGGATCAAGCACTGGATTTTTATAACCGTGGTGTAGCGCAGTGATGCTCAATCCCAGACCCAAACAGTACATCGGTTACGCTCCGCAGGCTGTAAGCGGCCCCAGAAAGTAACCACTGAACCCAAGTCCGTCACTGATGGACCAAAGTTTGTTACGCAGTAGGATAGAGCCGCGTTGGAAAATTTTCAGAGAAGTGCAACTATGAAAGATTCAAAGCCTCCACCTTACTGGTGCGCCAGCCAGCTGGTTTAGAGCACAGCCATGCCCGGAGTAACCACTGATACCGCATAAAGTCGTCTCTTTCCTTTTGCACAGCAGTCGCTCTCAAAGCTATCCAATTTTTGACTGGTAAATTCCCTTCAAGTGTAATGTAGACAAAATACATAATCCATCTGCATTTCTGCAGGGCTCATGACAGACAACGCTGAGTGTTTCTACTGTCATTACCAGTAAGGTAATAAAAAAGCCTCTAGAAAATAAGAATGAGATTTTTAATACAAAGCAATGGTACAACTTTGTATGCCCTATTGTATTCAATACACCTTAAAGGATATAACAAAAACTGTAAAGTAAGAACCAAAAAAATTAATCATAAGGAGAACACAAACAGTGGTTTCTACTTATTCACACTGTCATGTAAGGAAAGAAAATATAGATACTTAAACTAAAAGGAGATTTCAAACAGATAGGAGTCTTCACATATCCACGATTAGCCTGGGAAATTCACTGTCATTAAGTAATGCTGATATATCTACCTACACACATGACATAGTACATATGTATCTGCAAAATACATACATATATATTCAAAACTTTTAAAATACAGAAGAATACATGTACACACAAAAATGTACACACTCGCAATGTAAATTCAGAAAAACAACCCTCACTGCTTGGGTTTGAATGAATCTGTAAGACAGACAGTAAAGAAATCTCCAAATTGTTGCATAACTGCATCATCCTAAAAGCACAACACATGCCACTGTCAGAGCTTAGACGATGAACTAGGTGGACCCCGAGTTCAACTGAGCACGTTGATTCCTGTGTTCCCAAACATAACACAGCAAGTTCACTTGACGCCAGGCTGAAGAAAAGCAAGTTGTTTTCTACTGATTATGACGCAGAAAATGAAGGCAGAGTAACCAAAAAATTTTCCGCTGCACAAATCCAGTGTTTTGATTTGCCCTTTTTTTTTTGCTTGTTGGTTGATGTTTTTTTGTTTTCTTCGGGGTTTATCGTTTTTTGTGCGCTGTTTTTTTGTGCGTTGTTTTTTTGTTTGGTTTGGTTTTTGGGTGGGGGGTTAATTTTTTTTTTAACATATCTTTATTTTCATTGCTATTATTACTGTAAAAAGTTGAGCACTGCTTTGAATTAATCAGATATTATGTATAACCCACAGGTGAAAATTTGGTTCCAGAATCGACGAGCAAAAGAAAGAAAAATGATCAAGAAGAAAATATCTCAGTTTGACGGCAGCGGGGGCTCAGCTCAGAGTGACTCTGGCTCACTCAGTCCAAATGAAATATCTAGCTCTCTGTTCCCGCCACCACACGGAATAAACGGATTACAGCCTAATGACATTCACCAAGTCATAGTTTCAGAATGAACAGAGGGGGGGTAAAAAATAAGGAAAAAAAAACAAAAAGCAAGAATTGATTTCCCCACTGCCCCCCTGCTCCTCGAAAACCCAGCTTCGCAAAGGACCATTCTCATTTAACTTTCCCCAGAGTGCTGATTGCCGAGTACAGGATCTGGGACTGCTACCAAAATATTTTCATTATTGTAGAAACCTCAGGGAACTTGTGCTGCTAAGATTCACCACTCAAAATCCTTGGGTAGGAGGTAATTTGCTTCAGACACTGACACAAAGACTGATAACAACTGAAGAGTCAAGTAAACGTAGCTGTAGTCTGATCGTATATATGCACAGAAAACGAAGTGAACTGATTATAAAATAGAGTACTATTGCATAAAATATAAGATGCTGGGTGTATTTGGTTTATTACATTTTATATAATTAGAGTAAATGGTAGACATTAATAAATATTGACACTTAAGTGTACTGAAAAGAACACTACTTTTTGAAAACAACATTTAAAACGCTTCTAAACACTCAAAATCCATAACAACGTTGTTATACCAACATATTGCAGTTAATCAAATAAAACAAAACTTCCCTGCCCTATGTAATTGTATTCAAGCATGCCAACCTCATAAGCAATAGTCAGATTTATAATGTCATACCAAACCTGCCAAGATTTTTCACTTGTAGGAAATGCAGAGATGTGTCACACACATGACTAAATGCCAAATCGTTTGGAAGACAGAAGTATTACTTCAGTCTTCAGCAAATGCACATATTATTGCTCAAAAATATGTGCACAAATGTAATGGAAACAGAACAACTACTACCAGCCAACCACCAAGGTAGCTGGCACTGTATTTCGAAGCTGTTTTCGAGCAGCTCAGCATTCACAAAATCCCATCAAGCACGTAACAAAAAGAAGGTGCTCACTCCCCGGGCACTCCTGAAAGAGCACAAATTAAAGATAAACATGCTCACAGCGAGGAGGTAGCAATGGTATGTACAAGACAATTGATGAGTCTGGAAAAAGCAGAAAGAAAACCCAAAGCACTACAAAGAAAATTCCCAAACCCTTTGGTAGTACTGTTCGTTGGAATTTCATAACATGAGCTTTCTGATAGCATGCAAGCAAGTACTCTACTGGAAAAATTTAATGTTTGTGAAAAGATCATCAGGAGAAATGGCAATAAAAAGGGAAAACAGAGGAAAACAAAAAGAAAACCCTATTGTCTGGCATATGAAAAGCTGTGCATCACTTACTTCAACAATATCAAACTCCCAGTCTCAGAAACAGCAGAGTAAATGCTGCTTTTCTTAGCGTCAACAAGCACTGAAAATGCACTGCCCAACGTGGACAGAACTTGTCAAAGCACTCATGACCTGGATTCGATAAATTCGACAAATCTGAAGGTGTGCCTCACTGTTTCCAAATTATTTAAAAATAACTCTTATTAGAGTAACTCTACAAAAGTAATTCTGTTAGGAGTTACGAGACTAACACCCTTCAAAAATAAATACCAAATTATATGATTGTAGACATAAATGTCTCAAGCTAAACTAGGAAGAAAACGTGTAACACAGGATAAGATCCTACTGATTGTAAGCATTTCTTGGGTGGTTCTCCAATATATTTCTAATATTTTATTCCTACGGTTAAAACAAATGGGCATATGTTAATGCAAACAGAAAATCTTGTGTATATAAACCCTTATAGAACTCAACCCTGTCAGAAACTGAGACTGCATCTACATGGCTTTAATTCAGATCTGCTGAAGCTGCTGCCACTGGAGTGTTACATGACAGCACCCGGGAAGCCAGAGCCGCCCGTGACAGCACGCGCACCCAGCCGGCGCTGTTCACACCAACAGAAGCACACGCGCTGGCGGCCACACGGCACGTACACGCTGCCCTGCCCTGCCCTCAAAGAAATCCATACATTGGCTCTATTACAGCTTTGGGAGAGGAGGTCTTCCCATTCCACCAGGCCCTTACCTCTGGTGTCCTTTTATACAGGAAGGATGTAGAAGACAAAATAATCCCCCAATATGCTCCTCAAGAAAGAAGCTGTAATACTTTAGACATACAAGAAAAAAGGGAAGAGGACCTTTACCTGCCCAAACCTCAACTCACCAGAAGGCCCACCTGTACGGAAGGGCGGACAAAGACTGGGAAGGTTATCAGTGACACAGAAACAGAGAGTGTTTCTGGGGTTTTTTTCTGTGGTTTTTTTTTGTTCTGGTTTCCTGATTTTTTTTTTCTGTGATCAGTTTTCAGATCAACATGAAAGAATGGCAAGTAAAGAGCCATAACATGCAACATATCGTTCATTATATTTGTATCCTAGAAATGCATGGCTTAACTTCCATTTCTCTTTCCTTCTAATTTATGTCAAAATTGAAATAAAAACCTTACATAGTTATTTACCAGCTTCACATCTAACTTATTCAAAATTATCACCCTGCAGTTTCTAAACACTCTCCAGTCTTTGACTTGCCAGGCAGCCAGGAAACATCACGCTGCTCTGACGAACCGGGCAGAAGAGCCGCTGACTGTACTTCAGAACCACCGCTGTTCATAGAGGAACCATCTCAAATGAGAGCGGTTTAAATGTCAAATGGCAGTTTGAACGGGACACAAAGCACCTCCTATGGCATGTTAAAAGTCACTCTTGTCAATAAAAAGTGTTCTCCTTTTTCATGATCTTCACCCTGAATTTTTTCCATCAGGTCTCAAAGCATATATTAAAACATATTTGGGGGAGACAGTCTCTTTCATGCACTAGATAATGATCTCTAAGCCTAAAAACTCTATCAGATTATCTTCTCTAGCTACAGCTAACTCAAATAAGAAATTATTCCCTGTTTCTTGTACTATGCATAACTACCCCCCTTCTAGACCATAACGTCCCTTTAAATCTAAGTGTAGTGACACAGCTGTTTCTCAAAATAATCTAAGAAAAAAAAATCATTAAATTCTTTTAGACTAATTGGGATCACTTTTAGTAAACTTGATTACAGAGCAGTTACATACGCAGTCAGCTCAGGAGGACGGCAAGCCATAGAGAGGGGAAAACGGCAAGCAACTGAAAAAATTCTTCCTCTGCCTCTGGCGGCGTTCGGACATTGTATCTGACTGTAGCCTTTGCCATTTTTTTGCCAGAAACTGCCATCCCAAGACAAAATACAGTTCAGAACTACATGCTGGCACATTTTGATGGCCCATTAAAGACTACGCAAGAGCCTGACAGGAGCCCATCCTATATGGGTGTTCTGCCAAGCTCAGCATGGGAGCACAAGGACCAGGATATGCAGTTGGCTGGAGGCAACACAGCCGTCACAGAGTCCCTACATCGCTATTCTTTTCTGGGCAGCTGTGTTTGACTCCTCTACATTGCTTATGCAAAGGAAAAGCTTCAGAAGATGGGATCCAGCCCTTGTATTTAATTTTTGGATTTATGTGGGCGAGAAGAAACACTAAAGGCTATAAATAACATTTTCCAATATTTATCTTTCCTCCTTTGAAGACTTCTCCAGGGACTTTAATTAGACTCTCCCTTAGCACCATTGGGCAATTAAAATAATAATAAATCAAACACGATCCTTCTCACCCAGTGGGTATCTTCCCCAAGCTCGCTCAGTTTCCTGCCTTTTTAACTTCATGTAAATAGAAAACCATCACAGTGTTTAAATTAAGCTGTTTGATTGGTATTTCGAGTTTGCAAAGTAGTGAGCCGCTTTCACACCACGCTGGTATCAAAAGAATTCTGCATCGCACAACTGTCTAATTCCAGCAGCCAGCAAATCCCTTCTGACATTTATTTGAATCATCCTTATTCTTACGAGAATACTGCAGAGGTGCCAAGGCTCTGGGAACAATTGCCGTTCTCAGTCCCACTATTTATAAATACTTAATTGAGAAGGAACACTTTACCACAAACTGTTCATGCTGAGACTCAGTGCAGCAGCACGGTGATTTGGCTTCACTAACTTCTAAATATTGATCTGTGGGAGAAAATAAAGAAAACTACAGATTTGCCTGAGTTTACAGTAATGACAGATAGTTTAGACTGGAAATTGGAAAGGACCTTATTGTAAGATGTTTAAAAAAATCATAAATCACAGAGAAGAGAGCGTAACTTAAAGCTCTCATTGGCTACTTGCAGTAGGAACACAGGTCAAATAAAAACCTGGATCAGAAATTTGGCAACCTCTTGAAAGTAAGATTACTTCTGAAAACTGATTAGGCATTTTCAGTACATGCAGTACAGAGCTGTACACCCTGCACAAAGCCAAAAACCTTCTAGACATTACAAAATATTTGTATCACAAAAACAGTTCCACTAAACCTCTGCATCCCTCTTGACTTGCCTTACTTCAACAAATGAACATACCCACGTTTGCCTAACAAGTTATACGTTTCTATTTCTAAACAAAAGAATGTGAACTTGCAATGAGATGCTGGATGCACCTGGAAAGGGAAAAAGAATTCTGCTAAATGCAACAACCAAACCCACAGACATTACCAGGGTCTTTTCCTCATTGTAAATCCCACAACTTTAAACAGGAGCACCTAGACAGTGGTTACAGCTCCCAGTCAAAAGTTCTGCTTTTGTTTCCCAAAGAGGAAACTAGTAGGTAACACTAACATTTTGGGAGTTACTTCCAAAAAAGCCCCAGGTACTTAGCAAACAATCTTAAAACATGTGGTTAATGTTATTTTTAAAAGAAAATATTATTTGCATTGAAGGAACAATTTTTATTATTCCACGGATGCGCTAAACACTAATAATCCTACTGAAATTATCTCCAGCACATGGCATCGTGTCCTTTGGGTAAAGGTTTCATAATTTGGAAATGAAAACCACTATCGCAGGTGAACGGCTCAAGAGAGGCTGAACACTCGATGGCCAGGTTGTAACCGTGGATCCGAAACCCGTCAGGAGCTGCTGCCTCTCACGTGCTGAGGCTAAAAATTGAGGCTAAAAAGTTTTGAAATGCCTATCAACTCTTATCAGCTTAATACTTTGATGCATTAACTGAAACTCCCTAGAGC